CAGCAACAGGCAAACTAGTGCGACTATAATAAAGAAAAGAATTATCAGCCACATAAATGAATGTGATATGTGGGGAAGAGTCAACACTGCTTTTGTAAAGGTAAATCATGCCTCTTCAATCTATTAGAATTCTTGGGGGCTAGGGCGATCAACAAATATGTGTACGTGGACTTTCAGAAAGCCTTTGACAAAGCCTCATCAATGGCTCCTAAGCAAAGCAAGCTGCCATGAGATAAGAAGTAAAGACCTTTCCTGCATCAGAAACTTGTTTAAAAATAGGAAACAAAGGATAGAAATCAATGGTCAGTTTTCACAGCAGAGGGAGATAATTAGCATGTCCCCAAGGATCTGTACTGGGACCAGTGGAAAGAGGAGTTAACAGTGAGGCCGCAACATTTGCAGAGCTAGTTAAGGCCAAAGCAGACTGGGAAGAGTTACAGTGGGATTTCATAAAGCTGGGTGACTAGGCAACAAAATGGCAGATGAAATGTAATGTTGATAAATGCAAAGTAATTCACATTGCAAAACATAATCTCAACTCTGCACAGAAAATGATGAGGTCTAAATTAGCTGTTATCAGTCAAGGAAGAGACCTTCGAGTCATCCTGGATAGTTCTCTAAAAACATTGTCCCAGAGTGTGGCAGCAGTCAAAATGTTAGGAACCATTAGGAAAGTGATAGATAATAAAAAGAAAATATTATAATGTCATTATATAACTCCAGGGAATGCCCATACCCTGACAACTGAGTGCAATTCTGGTCTTCCCAATTAAAAAACAAGATATATTAGAATTAGAAAAAAAGTACAGAGAAGGGCAACAAAAATGATTAGCGATATAGAACAGCTTCCATATGAGGAGCGATTAAAAAGATTGAGACTGATAGAGGTCTGTAAAGTCAGGAGTTGTGTGGAGAAAGTGCATAGGAAAGTGTAATTTACTCCTTCACATATCACAAGAACCAGGGGACACCCAAATGAAATTAATAGGCAGCGGATTTTAAACAAACAAAAGGAAGTACATCTTCATGCAATGTACAGACAATCTGTGAAACTTCTTGCCAGGGGACATGATGAAAGCCAAAAGTATAACTGGGTTCAGAAAATAATGATTCAAGTCAATGGATAATAGGTCCATCAATGCCTATTATTAGCCAAGATAATCAGGGATGCAACCCCATATGACCTGTGTATTCTAAAACCTCTGATTTCCAGAAGCTGAAACTGGATGACAGGCAATGGATCACTTGCTAACTGCCCTGTACTGTTCATTCCTTCTGAAGCACCTGGCATTGGCCACCATTAGAAGAAAGGATACTGGATTAGATGCACCTTTGGTCTGACCCAGTGTGAACATTCACACTCTCTCTCTCTCTCTCTCTCTCTCTCTCTCTCTCTCTGATGGGGCTGCAATAACAAAATCCTTTCTCATTCAGCACCTTCTCTGAAGTGGAACCCCCCGCACCCCATCATCTTTGCCATTCCCATCAGCAGAGTTGGAGCCCGGGAGCTGGGCACACACCTAGACTTTCATCAGCAGTTCTCATGATCTCAAAGTCCTGGGCAGCTGAGCCATCTTGCTGCTCCTTAGATGCCTTTTTAGGCCAGTGAGTGCAACCCAATGGGAGCAGGACCAGACAAAGTGAGTTCCCATCTCCCAAGGAGTCAGCCCATTCCCATGAGTCACACAAGTGCTGCTGACAGTCGGGACATCACCTGTAACTCTGCCGGTCGCCCTAGCTGGCTGGTAAAAGACAGAGTACCTAGAAGCCCAGTTAACAGCCTGTTGTTCCCTCCTTAGACAAAGGGGAATCTACCATGTATCTTAAGCCATTTCAATAGTCAATGGAGGAATCAGTGCCCCATGCTAGAGCCACATATGCCACTGGCCAGCATGTGACCAGCCTCTTCTAAGCACAGCTAATCCACACATGGCAATAAATGGGCTCCATTGATACCTGCCAGCTGCCAGTTTCCAGGATGTCTCCCAGGCTGGTGTCAAGCTTCAGGCCAGGGTGTGGATCAATGACAGCACTTGTTCTGTTGGGAGACCTGTTTCTGACTTGTGACAGGGGAATATCACCCATACACATCCCACTGGCCCTTTATATCGCACCTGAGAGGAGAAACTTCCAGGGTAAATGGAAACTCCCTGAAATGGTTCAGGGCATTCCTCTTGGAGCAAAGCCTTGTGGGAAACTGTTTCTCCATCTGCAAACCCCTGCCCTCTGGGGCCCCACAGGGCCCAATTCTTCATCTTAGTATTCAGAATCTGTAGGAAGTCATTGGGCAAGCTGGAGAGATGGCAGCGGCTGATGTATCAGGAATACACAGGCACACTGGGCTGTACATCCACCATGGCTCACCTATCCAATATAAACACCAACATGGCCCATGGAGCTCAGTGCCCAGACAATTTCAGCAGCTGGAGGAAGAGCTGCTGGCCAATGCTGAAAACCAAGCAAGACTAGAGATACACTCCAAAGCACTTGCCTCTTCCACAACATCCCCGACAAGCCAGGGTACCCGTCTGCCGATTATTACACCAACCAGAACCCATGGGTTCCCCTGGAATTCTTCAGTGCAACTCACATCCCAAATAGCCGCAGCCCTCACATCCTGATTCACAAGGGGACCCCGAAGCACTAGCGCAATGCAAACAATATATAATAATGATAAATGCAAACCCCCAAATAGCCACAGCCCTCACTTCCTGATTCACAAGGGGACCCCGAGGCACTAGCGCAATGCAAACAATATATAATAATGATAAATGCAAACCTCATTGCTTCGATTTAACTCTTCCTTAATGATTTCTTCACATAAGCGCAGCATGACCAACAAAATCCTATAAACTAATCAATCTATGTCTCCTGAAGGCTGGGAAGAAAGAGAGAGACATTGCTATTAGTATTTCTACTTCTAAGCACTCGCATATGGCCATCGAAATAACTACTGTAATCTCTCTCATATTTATGGCACCCTTAATAGTGTAGTATCTGGTCATTGGATCAGCAATTGGTGATTTCCAGGAGAGCCCTAATGAGGTCCAAAAGATTCAGGGTCGCTACACAGACCCCAATCCTGATAATGATCATGGTTGTAACGGCAAAGAGCTGCAAAAAGATCACACGCAGAACCGTCTCTGCGGCCAGAGGGGATAAATGATCAGGCTATGCTTAAGGTTTGGAATATCTCAGCTCCCTGGAAGCCCTGAACCAGGCTTTTCTCTTCACCTACTGAGATAGATAAATTGTGTTCCAAGCAATTTGCTCTGTGGGGATCTTTATTAGTTTTATGACGTGTTATTTGTTGTTGAGCAGGCCAGAGTATGGCACACTGGAGTAGGATATGTGGAGGAAAGCATGGTCCCTGCCCTGAAGGGATTGAAATCTGCATTGCGCACACAGTGTAGATAGGGGCTGACAGAATTGCTGGGCCCCTCCACAAGGTCGGGGGGCCCAGCTCTGCATTCCCAGAAGGGGCGTGGCTTGAGGCAGAAGAGGCGGGGCTTTGGGCAGTCAGCCATCAGCACTGCCCAGATCACATCATGGCTCTCCCTCTTCTCCCCCTGTTGCCAGCCCTCAGTGCTTCCTGGAGCTCTGGCTGTCCCTACTGCTGCAGTAGCAACAGCAGCAGCTGGGAGTCCCAGACTCTTGTGAATAGCTGACTCCCAGAACAGTTGCCCTCTTTGTCCCCGCCCTCATCGGCAGGCCTGAGTGTTGATCAGACCCACACACAACGAACTGAGGCTCTGATAAGATTCAAATCTCGGAAGATTGCTTCATTTTGTTGGTCTTTTTAATATCATTTCCTTCCGTGGTGAATCACTGCCGGAAGGTCTTTCCAAATGCAGCTTTAATGCTGCGGGTCCTGGCTTATGGTTCGTGTGGATATTAAAAATCCCATGGGGAGCTTTCTATAAGAGATGGGTTTGCTCTGGTGCCCTTGGACAAAACCTTTGCTCTTTAGGGCCTGCTGATTGGTTGCCTGCCCTCTGCCCCGCCTTAGGAAGAGACTACATTTCAGTGGTGAAGAGACTCCCAAGTGTAGAAAGTGCTTTTGTAATGTGCTTTGGAATTGGGAGCCTTCAGGACAGAAGCTGTGCTGTGTGAGTAGAGAGTGTGCAAGCTCTCTCGACAAACACCCTTCAACTTCCACCATGTTATAGCAAATGCCCTCAAACATCAGAAGGGTGGCAGACTCTCTGAGCCATCACACACACCCAAGAGGCAGGCCTCAGGATCTCAGTGCCCTCAAACAATGTTTTGTGGCATGTTCCGTGACATGCCTGCTTCTGTGGTGGAGAGAACTGGTATGTGATTGGGGTGATGACTTGGCAGCTAGTTTCAGAGGAACAGGATTGCCCAGGCTTAACAAAGACTTGCACATTTTTTCTTGCCCATTCACGCAAGCCGTGCTCTCTCTTTGGCGATCTGGTTGGTGAGGAGTTTTAGAAAGTATAGGTAATAAGACAATTCCACATTGACTACACATTCTCTGGATGTGAAGGAGCGCAAGTCTCTGTAGAAGAAGCCTGTGTTAAATGGCACCCGCAAATTTTGCTAGAAGACAATGCAGTGTAGAACAGGACTTTCCCAAACCTCATATGTATCACACATCTATCAGGAATGATCTAGATGGTGCTTAGTCCTACCATGAGTGCAGGGGACTGGGTGTGATGACTTCTCAACTGGTCCCTTCCAGTTCTAGTATTCTACGATTCTATAGCAATGTTTACAACTTCCCATTTCTGCCCCAGTGACAAGAAACAGTGAAACTGTCCAGCCTAGTTTCACTGAGGGTGAAATGCAAACAGTAAAAAGAATGCACAAAATAATGAAAACCAAATGGTATTTTACGTCATCTTTCAGCTTCAATCATTGGGAGACATGATGAGTAGTAACTCAGATGGGGAGTTGTTAAAGGTACATGGGGATTTTCATCATGATGATGGATCTTTCATCTCTCTTTTCTTCTTCCCTTGCTTATTTTACTCCCCTCACGTTGCCTCCTCAATGATAAGCTACACAGAAAGAGCACAACAACAACAACATGTTTTATTGGTCCTATGACCCTGGGAACTATGCTCCATATTCTTCAGTGCCATATGTTGGCACTTTATTAACTGTTCAGAGAAATACATATACAAAGCTCTCTTGTAACACTTCCCAGCTGATCTATCTCTCTCTTTGCAACCATCATCTTTGCTCTGGGAAGGAAGGTTTTTTTGGGAAAGGGCTGGATGGGGGGAAAGAGGAACAATATCACTCCAGCTTGGAGAAGGGTGAAGTGGGGGATTTGCCACCCCCAAACCAAGGGGATTTGATGCCAAGCCAATAGAAGGCGATGAATGCAATTTTTGTCAGTTCCATGCGCGCCTCTGAATGCAGATCATGAATTACACACCCGCCAGATGACAGGCTGACATTTTAGGTCCAAACATTCTCCTATAATTAGTAGAATCTAATGCAATACAGGGAATGGCTCCATTTTACACACACATTAGCGTAATGCCTTTAAATAAGATAATTGATTATGCCTCTGCATAAGAAAATAAAATATTCGGTGTAATTAAAACCGGCATTCGGATGCTGGCATGCTGACAGGTGAGGCCATGTGTCATTTTATAAATCCTTAAAGTGATATTCACACCCACATTTGAGCTCCCAGAGTTTTGAAAATGATTCCTTGATGCTGAGTTGCTTTTTATCTTTAGTTCAGAAGTGTTTTGCTGAGGGATTTTTTTTCTCTCATTTATCTTCATTCTGGCCTCATATCAGCATTTGACACAAAGCTGCAGTTATACCATCCCGGAAAGGGAAATTGGTAGCTCCCACAACAGAAGCACCATCAGGCTTGCTCTGTATTTGCAACAGAGCCCTCCAAGGAGTGCTGGGGTTACAGCAGGGGCATTCTCCATGCTGAGTCAGCACCTAAATGTCAATGGGATACAGCATTGGCCTCCACTTCCTGTGGATAGTGAACTGCGGGGTAGCGCTTCTGGGGCATTAAACAGCTGCCATGTCCCATCCCAGTAGTGGCTGCCTTTCAGTAGTAGGGGGAATGATTCCTGTGCATTGTGTCTGCCAAGTGTTTTGGCATCCTTTTGGAGGGAAGATGCAATAGGAACTAAGTCATCATCATTCGTACAGCAAGTGAATGAAGGAGCCATTGTTCACATGGTGCATATCCGTGCACAGGTTCCGCAGGGAGTTAACCTCCAGAGCATTAATCTGGCACCTTTCACCAGCACTCCAAATCTTTCAAAGGGGGAGCAGGATCTGGCTGTTTCTTGCAGTTGTATTTATCACCCTGTAGCAGGTTCTTTATTTGGACTCCTACGGTGTGTCTAGACTACATGGCTCCATCGACGGAGCCATGTAAAGTAGTTTACTCGACATAGTCAAAGAAGCGGGGATTTAAATAATCCCCGCTTCATTAAAATAAAAATGGCCGCTACGCTGTGCCGATGATCAGCTGATCTGGCACAGCGCGGCAGTCTAGATGCGGCGCAGTTGACAAGGGAAGCCTTTGTTTCGTGAAACGAGGTTTACCTGAGCAGTCGACAAAGGCTTCCCTTGTCGACCACGCCGTGTCTAGACTGGCACGCTGTGCCGAGTAAACTATTTTACATGGCTCCGTCGACAGAGCCATGTAGGCTAGACATACCCTAGAGAATAACAGGTAAAGGAGTTTCCTACCCGTGCCATAAATGCACCTTTCCTATGCTATTGCTAATGGATCGAAAGAGTCTGTGTCTTTGGTCTGGTTTGGGTGTGCAATGGATTCTCAGAGCTGGTTCAACATCCCCAGGAAAAAGTACCAGGTTGGCACCAGGAATGTGTACCAGGTACGGAGGTGACACACAGCCATGGTTGCCTTTACAAAGCAGCCAAAGACAAGGAAGAGCTGGAACAGAACAAACCAGATCTGAGTGCAGCCATTCCTCATTGTCCTCAGAGGCATCCTCATCAAAGATCGCAGCGACATAACCCTGCGGAGCAGAGGAAATTGCAGCAGCGTGTGGCCTTTCTCCACAGCTGTATCTGGGATAAAACATTTGATCTGGACTGATCAGATCTCGCCCCGCTTGGCCTGACCTCATAGTCCACTAGCCCCGTATCTGTTCCTACTCATGGGCATTGTGCTCCTCAAAGAGACACAAGATATACATTCACCTAAACACTACAGGGGTGGTAAAGGCTTGTGGGAGGGAAGGCAGAGTATGCACCCGGCCAGGCCCATCAGCTGGACCGCAGATACATGATCTGCAATGAGACACTGCTGGAGGAAGAGGGGTCAGCAGAGTGCTTACTGGCCCAACCACCTGGCAAAACTGCTTCCTATGCACTGATGCAACTCTGATGACCAAGCTAGCAACTCTAGCCACCGGGTGGAGGTCTCCATAGATCTCTAATTATGACTTGACCCTCCTTCTAGGCTTCCCACAGAAAGGGTGCTTAGGAGACGATACTGTGTTTGCAGCTGCATCCACTCTGCTTACAGGTGTACTGACCTACCTCAGACGTGGAGGAGATGTCCCTATGACAAACCAAATAGCCCATTGAACAATGAATGTTCCCCTCGGCTCTGCCCACCGATCCCTCTCCCCTCATCTCTTGCTAGCTCTTTAAGTAGCCTCAAACAAGCCCAGGAGTGAAATAGTTCCTCCTCTACAAGTGGAGATTTCCCTTTCCCTGATATCACCCTGGTCCAAGGCAGTGGATTGATAAAGCCTTATCCTGCACCAGGGACTAGTTAAATGCCATGTTTTTAAATCTCCCCTTTCCAGCACTCCCAGTTAGCCCTGAAAGGACCCAAGACACCTGCCATTAAAGTCATGAAACTTTTCATTATAAAAAGGCTATTTTTGGTTAATTTGTGAGATTTTCATGACTCCCCCTGAGGCCTGTTCATTTGGACTCATGGTAGTTCAGGCAGATGGTTTACTTGAGGATGGAGGGATGAAGAAACATTCCCATTCATTTGCTTGTAACACACGCAGTATATGCAGAATACAGAATGGTGCCTGAAGGTTCTAATAGTCTCCCCTTCCATCCATCCCTAAGATTTCATGAGGTGAGGTCACCAGAACGAGAAGACCATTGCTAGTCTAGGAAGAATGGAACCTCTGGCAAAGGCAATTTTGGCACAGGGATGGGGGAAGGAAGAGGAAGAGGGTGAGGAGACCTCTGAGAGCTCTGTGTCTGCTGCTGCTTGCATTACCCGGCTGCTGCTGCTGTGATTGGTTGCCATTACGCCCGGCTCCTGGGGCTGTGGTTGGCTGTGTGGTGCTCCTGAGTCCACTGGGACCCTGAGACAGCAGCCAGTGGGTTCTGAGTTACTCAGCTCTTAGGAGAGTTTGTAATAAATCACACACACATGCACACAAAAGGAGGCGCAAGGGAAACAGCGATGTGTAAGTGGGATGTCTGACTGAAGCCCTGACCTCTCTCCATTCACTCTCCTGCCTCCGTCTCCTCAGGGCTGCCTCCCTCTCTCTCTGCTGTGGTCTGTGCCACATATTCTTCCTCCCCTCAGGCCCTGGGTGGTCCTTAGTCATCTAGGACCAAACAGTCAGAACCTATAAAAATCCCGACACACCACACCTGGGACCCTCTCTATGCGTGCACTATCCTGTGCAAAGCTTGCCACAGCATACGCAGGGGCAAATTTGCATGCACAAAGGCATATTTTGTGACTAAGGGGATGCACACTCTTGCTAATGCATTTTTGGAAGCTCCATAGAAACTTTGGCCTCAGCAAACTCTTGGATTTGTGGGGCAACACAACTAATAATCACCTTTTATGAGGGCCACATCTCATCCTCCCAGCTTCCTGCATTGCCAGTGTGACTGGCAGCTGCTGGGACAGGAAATAGCAACAGAGGAAGGCTGGCTTCCATTCTCAGGCCGGGGAGTCTGTCCCAGAGCAGCACAAACTTTCCTCTTACGCTTACTGGCTTGCTGGCTCAGTGTGTATTAGTCACTCCAGGCAGTCAGGAGGTGTAACCTGAACACTGCTAATTACTTCAATGAGGCAGGGTAAGAGCTTGATGCAGACTCATTACTCTAAGGCAGGGGTTCCCAACCTTTTTTATACCGTGGACCGGCAAATCGATTCACAAACTTTTGGCAGTCCAGCATCATTTAATTTGCATATTTGCATAATGAATATGCAAATATGCAAAAAAATGTTACTGGTCCGGTAACCTGAACACTGCTAATTACTTCAATGAGGCAGGGTAAGAGCTTGATGCAGACTCATTACTCTAAGGCAGGGGTTCCCAACCTTTTTTATACCGTGGACCGGCAAATCGATTCACAAACTTTTGGCAGTCCAGCATCATTTAATTTGCATATTTGCATAATGAATATGCAAATATGCAAAAAAATGTTACTGGTCCGCCAAAAGCCCCGGTCCTCAGAGCTGCCATGAACAGCTGGCTTCAGCTCTGGCATTCGCCAC